CACGCAGCAAGAGCGAGAGTGGGCGGAGCAAGGGCGAAAGCCAGAGCATACACAAAGAAACAAAACGTACACGGGCAGGGGAAAAGGAACGGACAGCAAGTGTGGGGCAGGTGAGGCGAGTGGGGCACAACAAGGGTGCCAGACAAGGGAGAGCGGATGACGACGAGCAGGCTAAGAGAAGAGAGGCGGATTGAAGAGGGAGGCAGTGGACACTTACGCAGTGAAAAGACGACGAATGAGGGACGCTGTGCAGTGAGAGGGTGATGGTGGGAGCGAAGGGAAGGGAAATGCTGACGCCGCTCCTCGAGTTTGTGTGTCGTGAGATGAGCAAGCGGCAGGGGCAAAATATCGCAGCTCCCGAGATGAGACGACCAAAAGCCTCTTGCCTCTCACTCTCTCTCGCTCGAGGCAAGCAGCAGCCCAAACGCGGGATCGCCAAACTCAGATGCCCAAGGTCAGAAAAAGAATAGGGCAGGCGAGTCGAGGCGGAGCAAAGCCACCTCACTTGCTCGCACTTCTTTTCTGCTGTCTGCACCACTTTGGCGCGTTTAATTGTGGATTGAGCCGAGGGCAGCTTACGGAAAGAGAGCTTGAGCCTCCAACTTGACGACAGAACATATAGGCTTGGCTGCTGTGCCTTGACGAGCCTTGAAATGTTGCGCCGCAAAGCCTCTGCAGAACTGAAATCTCGGTCAGGAGCCGCATAGAGTCGACGTTCAATTCTGATTGGGTCTCCCTCTCTTTCAGTCACCACCATTTTCGTGGGCACCGACGAATTGAATTAGAGCAGCTCACACGCACGAGCCGTGTAGATGGCTCGCATCGGCAGATATACTCATCGGGTGTGGGCTAGTCCCGATCATCCGACTCTCTTCGATTTCGATTTGATGCTCTGTGCAGTCGAACTTTTTGAGCCCTGCCAGCCTATCTGGAACCAACGATACGTTCTTGGCAGACCACCCTCGGGTTGGCTCTGTGATGTATCGTCGCCGCCTCTGACAACAGAGTTCCATGCTCCAAAGTTCTCGTACCCTTGGTAGTCCTGTTCGGACAAGATGACGAGCTGAGGACAATCTTCGTTTAGCTCTGGCTGGAAGGCTTGATAGACGGCTTCCATCTCTTGCTGATGGGTTGGTCGGAGCGGAACCATGACATGCAGCAACGGCTTCGCTCTAGTTGCGCTGTCTGGCATCCTTAGGAGCTTTTGTGCCACTGAGCGGATCCAGAAGGGATGGAGAGGATCGTAGACGCAATCTGCTGCAACAAGGAGGTCGAAAGAGCCAGAGTACGTCTCTGCGTCCAAAGGTGCGGCCCAGTGGCAATTCTTGAGCTGAGCAAGGTGACTAGGCAATGTTTGGGAGGTTAGCTTCTGCACTTGATCCGATGCATCTCCATACTGTGCTCGGTGGACGCTCTGCCAGTCGAGAGAGCGTACAATCATTTCAACAGACGCGGATGAAGAGGCCGTCTTGCCTGAAGATGGCCAGCCATTAAGTGCAAGATTGTGTGCAAGATTTCCGAGGACTGTGGGATGGTAGTCAGAGCAGACTAAGTGGGTCGCGCTCTCGGTTCGATGTTGGCGAGACCACAATGCTATCGCCAAGCCGACCAGGCCGGTGCCAGCACCAAGCTCGAGAATGTTTAGGTCTTGACAAGTATCTGCTTTCAGAGGGAGAAGGAGCTGCGAGAGGATAGGAGCAGCTCCCCATGTATGTGTGCCAAGCGAATCATGCACAAGCGCACCATCTCTTAGCTTGACACTGAGGGTCTGGTCGTCAAGCTGGAAGATGTGGTCCTGCACCGATGCACCTGCGGCCATCCTACCGGCGGAGAGGGCAAGCAGCTCGGCACATCGCTCTGAGAGGCGTTGCAAGCTAGCGGCGGTCGCGTCATCATCAGTCGAGATGGACAAGAGCTCGGAAATAAGCCTGGTGAGCCATCGTGTAACATAGCTCTTTTCAAATGAGTCGACCTCCCTTGGCGGATGCTCCACATCCGGCTCGTGTAAGCAACTGTCCTGCTCGTAGACTTGCTCAAGTTTCGGTGGTGCGTGGATGATTTGACCACCGCTCGCACCGAGTAGGATAGCTAGGCTATCAAGATTGTTCCGAACAGCATCGAGACATTCGGGCGAGGTCAGGTCGAGCGCCCGCAAGTCTCGAAGATCTCGACTTGGAAGGAAAGGTGGGAGTTGCGACATGCAGCACCCCACCCCTACTGACAAGCGAGAGCAAGCTCCAATGTGGTTAATCTGCGCTGAGGATTGTAGGCAAGGAAATACTTGTTCGTTGGTGCTGGTCACGATGAAAGGATGAGTGTGTTGGAGGACTGACTTTCAAAGAACCCTGATGTGGAGAAAGAAACAGAACAGAAAACGGAAAAAGAGGACGTGCTCTGACAGGCTCGAGCTTGCCTGAGGCTTGCCTCCGTGGAGACACGGCGTCTGGTCAACATGGAAAGCAGGTGGATCGGGTCAAGTCGTTGGATCGGGGGGTGGAGGGGGCATCCATCGGAAGATGAGCCGACTCGGAAACATGTTTGCTGTGCGATTGTATACATCAGGAGAGGTGCGTGAGTGCCTTGCAGACCATCAAGTCCAATCAGAACAACAACAACAAGAAAAGAAAAGAAAAACAAAACAAAACAAGCGGTTAGGGGGAAGATGACAGGAGAAAAAGAGGAAATCGAGGCTTGTTCTTTGTGACTGACTACATGCTGCAGCAACTGCCTTTCAGCAAGCAAAATTGCGAATCTGTATCAATCCTACCTTGACCTCGCTTCCTTCACGCACGCCTCTCTGGGTCTGCCCATCCCGTCATGCTCAGCCTTCCTTGGCCAACGTTGTTCTCTTGAATCTTTCTTACTTTGGGCTTTGCAACTCCGACGACCAGTTCCGCACTCTCATCACTCTTATCACTCTCATCACTTTCATCACTCTCATCACGCTCATCATTTTTTTGCGACGACCACCCTTTGCCCCAGCAGTGCAACTCTGCTGAACTGCACTGTGCCTCATTGATCCTGTCAACGATCCTTCGGTTGTGATCAAGCAAAACCCTCCTCCTTGCTGCCAGACGCTGCATCCTCTTTTCATTCACGTACATCATCTTTGACCTTTCTTCTCGTACATCCATAGTCGCTTTCGTAGGCTTCCGTCGCCTCAACCTCCTTGCCTTCCAGGCACGCAGGTCCCTTCATCCTTGCAAGCTTTCCCCCGGCTCTGCAGACCCAAGGATAAGACAGCGCACAGTCAAGGCACGACTCACTGCGCTACCTCGATAGAAATTCGCACATTCGACTCGCAGCCTCGGCCAAAAGCTCAATCGACTCCAGCATGATCACGACGACACGAATCGCATAGGTCCCTCGAATCCTCAGCAGTGCGACCATCGAAGCACGAAGAGGCTGCGGCGATAAGCTCTTATCCCAACTCGACTCTTGCCCAGCATGTCACAGCCCAACACAGCTGCGATCGTAGTTGCCTCCATCTTTGGAGGCATCGCACTCGTCTTCGTTGCCTACAAAACCTATCGCAAAGTCTGGAATTGCATGTATCGTCCAGAGCAACTGCCTCCTGTTAGCCAACCACCAACAGCTTATCATGGCGGTGTTGTCATGTCAAATGTATCCCATCTTCCTACCCTCGATTCTAAACACAGAGGTGCAGGCTCATCACATTACCTTGCCGCCTCCTCATCTTCCACAGCCAACTGGCAGCCACAAAACGATGGCCTTGCATCTACTTGCACAAACGAAATGCCTTCACCATCTGTCGGCCGTCTGGAATCGGTAGTCCTTTCCGCCCCTTCAGACATCTACGATCCGCATTATCGAGGTGCTTCCACCATTTCCAGCTCGTCGTCTACCATGACTCTCAAAAGGTCGTATCTCAAATCTCCTCCTGCTTCACAGCTATCATACATGCCGAATTCCGGTCGGCGCGACTCATATCTACCACACTCGCCTCTCAACAGAGACTCGATTCAAATCATTCCTCCCCAGCCGCTCGGATTTTGTGGCAACATGGCGATGGCCACAGATCAGCGCACGCTCGTCTTCAGCAGCAACAGCGGTATCGGCGCATCCGAAGGTTTCACAAGTGGGTTGGTCTGGACTCAACCATCAGATCAGAACGACCGCCCTCGCAACTCTCATCAACCACAGCTGACTAACCAGGACAGGCAAAGGTATCCCGTGGGAGGTCGCGTGTCCACACGTACCAGCGAGGCGCCGAGTCTGGCGCCCTCGGCGTCGAGCAGTCCCGTAACACAGACAGCTCAACTGAACCGTCCACCCGAAGGTGATCGCCTTTTCCACGAAGCAACTCAATCAGGATCGCGTCAATCGAGCCCTGAGAGTGTCACACGCCTTGAAAGCAAAGCTTGCATTATCAATCCACAATTGCTCAGCGCCAAGGACAGTCCGCTTCAAAGGTTACAAAGCAACGCTGGTCAAGCACAGCCTCCACCGCACAAGCGATTGCATTCGGATGGCAACAGCAATCCGTCCGACTCAGACGTTTCTCCCATCCTCAGTCCTTTTGTACATCATTCCAGCCCACCAAGCACAGCCAAGGGCGTTACGCCCGCCTCTGATTCTTCTCGTGCTGACCCAGGCGATCTCGCAAAATAGACTTAGCATCATCATTGTTATCATTGCATGGCAACCAAGTTTCAGTCTGCCTTAACGCGCGTGCATTTGAATTCTGACTCGAACCGTATGAACCTGTCTTTGCTGTCTTGAAGAACACTTGTTGAATCATTAGAGAATAGAACGAGTCCTTCTGCTTTGTTGTATGTGCACTGTTTCTGTCACGTTGATGGTTTTGGATAGGGCGATGTTGGGTATTGCATTCTACGTAAGTTTTAAGGAAGCCCACTAGTCTGTTCTGTTCTAATCGGGTGTCATAAAAACGAGGAGATATACACATGGGGAAATATGGGAGGAATGTCAAAAAAAGGTCGAGAAATCGAGAAATAGATAAAAAGAATCCCAATCACCGACCCCTGGCGGGCTCGAACCGCCGACCTCAGCATTAACAGTGCTACGCTCTAACCAACTGAGCTAAGGAGCCATTGTTACATTTGCCTTCTCCCCTAACATTTATATACCAGTTACAGATTATCGACATGAATGTTGTGAAGCTACACAGCCTTGAATCGCCAACAGACTTCTCGAACGAAAGCCCATCTCGCAGCTCACCGCGACTGTCGGTAGTATCCCTCACCTACTGGCAGTCTTCTGCGCTTCCTGTGATGGAAGAGCTGTTTTGAACATGTGCGATGGATCTATTTCACGCAATGTGCGGTCGGTGACGAAAGCTAAGTTGGAAGGGAAAAGAACAAAAAAAGAAAAGAAAAAAAAACTAAGTACAAGAAAGTTATGACTGGCAGGCACGCGGATGAAAGCGCTGATGTGTGCAACCGTTCCGAGAAAAGAATGGACAGGCCAGGAATGGTAAATGTTGTTGTGGTTGAAGCGGCGACACTTTTTTAAGCAGGTGCCGAGCCGTTCTGGGCAACGGGAGCAGCGGGGGTGGAAGCATCGGTGGTGGAAGCATCGGTAGCAACAACGGAGGCATTGCGCTCGTGCTGTTCCCTCTTCTGCTTCTCCTCTACCCTGACCTTGTCGATGATCTGACGACCTTCCTCAGTGTTCCACGGCCCTGCGTCGGAAAGAGAGCATCCACGTTGGCAGTCGCACTTGCCTCCAAGGCTGGCGGGCAAGTTTTCGGCAGGGATCTGCTGGAGGAGCTCGTCTTGGTACTTGTGACCGAGAATCTTGATCTTGTCGACGGTGACGGGATCGAGCCAACCCTTGATGACGGACCAGACAGTGGTGAAGATGTAGGGCGAGTTGATGATGTAGAACTTGCCCATCGTCTCAGGGTAGTAGTGCTGACCGATGTTGGAGGCCTGCTGAACGTATCCGGAGACCTTCCAGAATTGAGAGACACCGACGTTCTTAAGGTCCATGATGGTGCAGGAAGTCTCGACGAGCTCTTGCTTGTGAGCGGAGCAGACGGGAAGTCGTTCTCGCTGGAACTTTTCGTACTCGACGACGAGCTTCTGGATCTGACGTTCTGGAGTGGTGACTTGGTAAAGAGCCTTGAGATCGAGCTTGCCGAGCTGCTCAATGTAGATCGGACGACCGTCTTTGTCAGTCTTGTGGTAGTACTGGGGATAGTACTGATCGACCTTCTCCTTTTCGGGGTACTCGAAAGAGTGGTAAAGCTCCTCGACCTTGAACTCGGCCCTCCACTTTTCGGCCTCGGTGAACATGGCCTCTGTGGCTGGCAAGTCCCACTTTCGAGCACGAAGGAAGCGACACAAGCAGGCATCGTCGTGACGCTCTGGGTTGAAGAGGCCCTTCTGCTGGATGATGGAGCGGAACTGGTCGAGCGCCTCCTGTTCGGAGGCGTCGAGGTTGCCTGGACGACCACTCTTTGCTGCGTCGGTCATTGGTTGAGCCTTGTTAGTATCCTTCTTGCTTCCCTTAGAGGTGTCCTTGTCGTGTCTGCGAAACATTCGTTTCTAATTGTAAGGGTCGGCCGTAATCGAGCCAAAGATGGGCAGGCGAAAGAGAGAGATGTCTATCTGATGCGATCAAGAGACTTGGTAGTTGACGAAATGAAGATGAGGCAAAGATGCCGACTTTTGACGATGCTGTGATGCTGTGATGCTGTGATGCGATGAGCCAAGATGGTATGGGAGGCTACACGAAGGCTCCGTCGGCAAACCAAGAAGAAGCGTGACGCAAGAAAGTCAAAAGTGGGGGCTTTGTCGCGGATTGCGCTGGTCTCCTCTGTTGGAATTTGGTGAAGCGTAAGTGTGTGTTGCGTGTGTTGCGTGTGTTGCGTGGAGGAGCACCAAGGCACACATAGAGGGAAAAGACAGAGAGAGCATGTCGTGGGGGTGAGCAGCGCCTCACGATTGCAACAAAAAAAAAATTCAAAAATTCAAAAAACAAAATTGACACAATTCAAACAGTCAGACAGTCACCGTTACAAGCAAACACGTCAGGGGGAGAGAGAAAGAGGTGTGTGTGTTGTGTGTCTGCGTCTCTCGTCCCGCAAAAGCCCGCCAAATGAACCGAAAAGGGGCCGAGAAAGTGGGCAGTTGAGCGAAAATACGTTAGAAATCTCTACACACACAACAGAATGCAAGCTCGACCATTTGGAATGAACGCATTATTCTGCACTTGACCTGCTTGCGTCGTGGCCATCGGCCACATCGGTTGTCAAATCGCAATCGGGCCAAAATCCACACGTGACTGCGAAGGGTCCACCTTGAGAAGGAGCTATTGGCGTTATCCTACCTTGCCGCTCTCTACCTTTCAAAGCAACTCTACAACAACGACACCTCCAACTTCAGCGAACTCGCTGGCTGACAATTCATCATGAACATTCGCGAAGCAACAGTAGGTATCCTGGAAGCCTTTGGAACATGATGCCGTCGAGGAACGGATAGAGCTTACTGACCAAGTATTCTTCTTGCTTTCGACCATTGCCGTCGGCGACAGATCGATGACCTGCTGGGTATGCAGAACTGCAACTTGCACAATCTGCCGGAGAACTACACACTACGATACTATCTCTACCATGCTTTGACCTGGCCTCAGCTCTCCTACGTTGCCGAGGATGAAAAGGGAAGGGTCGTCGGATACATTCTCGGCAAGATGGAGGAAGAACCAGCGGACGGCATCCCTCACGGACACGTGACAAGCATCAGTGTGCTTCGATCATATCGTCGACTTGGTTTGGCCAACAAGCTCATGAAGCAGAGTCGTAAGTGCCCGGCTGGCTATCTTTGGCATAGTGAGGCAATCTGACTGACACACACTTTTTTATTGCCTGGCGTAATTCTCTACTGTACTCTACCATTCAGAGGAGGCAATGCGAGATGTATTCGGCGCCAAGTTTGTCTCTTTACATGTCCGACAGACCAACCGTGCTGCGATCGGACTGTATCGCGATACGCTCGGCTTCCAGGTTCACGGCGTGGAAAAGGGTTACTACGCCGACGGAGAGGATGCTCTTCACATGCGACTCGACCTCTGATTTACCAAGAGAGAGCTCAAAGGGCTTTCCTTGAGATGTCCCATATCACCTTGTATTTGTATCTTTATGGATTCTAGCGCAGCGCAACGGACTGGCCAGGTGCTTGATCGTTTGAGGTGCTTGATCGTTTCAGCTGCTTGACTATTTCAGCTGCTCTCTTCGACTTGGACTGCTGAAGCGCTTGCATTCCGACTGTGTAGAGTGTGCTTCTGTATTGGTCACATTGATGTGCTGGGTTTGAAGTGTGATTCTAGAAGAGGCATACAAGAAAAGCAAATCAACCAAACCATAAATTGTGACTTGCAAAAAGGTGCCGAGGCCTTGGTGGCTTGCTAAATTATCAGGCAGCAGCAGCACCAACGCTCATCAGTGCACGGTGCATGTGAAGCTATCTATCATTTGCCTGCTCTTGGCTTCTTGACTGTAAGCAACCAAATGTCTTCGGCTCCTCCGATCGTCTGAATCAGCTTGGCCATCTCCTTCAACCAAGTCTAGAGACACTGTTCAGAAAGGAGCGCAGTTGTTTGCTACACCACCATCTCTGCCCCTTACCCGCTTCACTCGCACGCTGTCAGGCAATAGCGACACGACTTGCGGCCCAACACACCTTGGTTTGCGAACCTTCAAGAACAATGGAAGCCGCCTCGCAGAGACACCGATCTGGTCCATAGCCAAATATGGACAACCACAGGCGGCAGCCGACCACAAGCCATCAATCAGGCCAGCAGGCGGTGCTGCCTCCAGGTGCTCACCATCCTCACGGGCGCCCAGACATCCTGATAGCGACGGCCTCCCCCTTCCAGCATGATGGCAGCATGGCATTTAATCATGTACCTCCACCTTCCATTCCTGTCCCTGCCTTCTCATCGCCCGCAGAGTCAACTCTTTCATCCTCACTCAACCATCTTCCCCCTCGATACGACTCGCATCAGTTTCCGCCCACGCCTCCAGCATTGCACACCTCTGACCCAGTGTCAGGCTCCTACTTTGAATACCAACACGGCGCTGCAGCAGATCAGCTTGCGCTTTCCTATGCGTCTTGGTCTCCCTCCGAACAACCGACGCCTCACGTGTTTGGCTCACGCTTTCCACGATGGGGATCTTGGCTCGAGAAGCGTGCCCTCGAGCGCCATTACGCTCAACTTGACAGCCAAGCCAGTTCACAGCATGTCGCACCTTCCAGCAGAGTAGAGCCACCTAACAGAAAGAAGAGTTGGGGCGCATGGGTCGATGGCCCTGACGCCATCAATGACGATGCCAACTCAGCTCCTGCTCCTCAAAACATAGCATCCATGATGGACGCATCATCTTTGCCTCCGCTGCATGTCCACCACTATGGCTCTCGCTTCATTCCACATCTCCCTGCTCAGCCGCTGTGCAGCGTACTCGTCGAATTGCCACCCTCCGTTCATCACCGAGACAAATCTAGCCTGGCACCGAGACAAGTGCTTCTCGTAGGCACCGCTCTTGGGCTCTTCGCAGTCCAAATCCGACAGCCTCAGGATCACTCCTATTCTCGTCAGACACAAGACGCTCCTCCCAGTCCCTCGACAACTTCCAAACAGTGGAACGACAACATCCGCTGCATCCACGTCCTTTCCGGTATAGCCGTCTATCAGATGTGTATGCTGGCATCCAAGGTCGACGCTGCCGCAGCCAAAAGCCGCATGTCACAGCCAAACAGCACAGCCATCTCTGGCGTCTTCCTTGCCCTCACTTGTCCATCTTCAGCACGAGATGGCTTGTTCGCTTCTTCCCTCATGCAACTCAGCGCTCATGCCGGTTCCGTATTGGAGAACGTCGCAGCCTCCGGCACCTTCACTTCCAGCTCATCCAACTTGAGTCACAATGGCCATGGTATCTCCAATCCCAATGAAGGCGTCGCCGCTGCCAACTTTGGGCCCACAGCTGGCGGCGGACCAAGGCGCGCTGTACCCCCTGGTGGATCTGGCGTCGTCCGAATGTGGCACTTGCAGTCCATTCGAGAGCTCTTGCTTTACGCGCTCGACAGGAAC